CTGTCACTGTCGAGCTCCCTCCTAGAGCGCTAAGAAGAGCCTTCGCCAAGTGTGCGTGTGGGGGACGTGCTTCTTTTTGAAACCAAGTAGTTCAATCAATTGTCTAGAAGGATTCCGGATGAGGAGAGGATATTTGGAACAAATGGAAGTCCGTCGAGTTTCCCAACTTTCTCGGTGTTGTGACAGTGCCAAACATTTCCGCTCATTTACGCTGTCCATCTTCTGGACCTTGTTGTTTTACCGGATCAAGATTACCTCGTTGGTCACGGTGCGTTGACTTTCACTTTTCTCTACGCTTACTTACCTGTACGCTTCTCTATCCGTTCTCCAGCTTATCCCAATACAACCGTCGTTGAGGTTTTGTGATACCAGTCGTTCTGCTTTGGTTCGTTGTTTTATTCCTTGCTATATGTTCAAATAGTGGACATCATTAGCCTAGAGACTAAATTGGTGAGCCCGACGTAATATTTTTAACTTTTTACAGTTATCGCGCATTCTAGTTTCGTTAATACCGTTAGATTTTTCCACTTTCTTAGTCCCTCTGATTATCACTGGTATAACCTAAGATTCATTTTTACGACTTTTATTGAGGTAGCTCATATACCTTGTGCATTTTTTGTTTACTTATCACCTACTTGCATAATGCAAGCCTCAGGCAGTGACAATCAAAACAGCGAAAAATTCAACATTAAGCAGCATGATAGCTCCCATGTGGGTAGTCTAGTGGCTAGAATCCCGGATTTTATTCACGAGTACCCGGGAGGTTTGGTTAACACAAGTAGAAGCGCAGTTCCGGATGGCCAGGACAGAACTGACGGCAGACAAAGGGGCCGAGTACTGCTGCTCGTCAAGGCTAACCTAAACTAAAGGGCAATGCAGCTGGAGTTAGCTACTCCGAATATACAAGCCACAAGATGCTGCGTTCAAATGGGGCGGGAGCAAGTGGGTGTAGTATGTATATATAGAGCCCCGAATACGATGCCAGAGGAAGATACGGAGTTGCTTATGATTTTTCAACAAACACTGGCGAAATACCAGCGTTTTTTCATCACTGACGACTTCAATTTTTCGGAGGTAGCATGATCAGGGAGGTATGCACCTATAGGCTCCCCAGGGGCTGCATTCTTGCAGTTTCTACAAGAAAGAGCTCTGACACAGCAAGTGACATGAGCAACCAGATACTGAGGACAATAGAGACCCTGCCTGCTAGACCTAGTTATCACGAGGTATTTATTGGGCATAGCTAAACATGGAAGAACCACTGGACAATGTGACCACGATGTTCATCGCTTTAGACTAATGGTTAGCCATCGTAGGCACGGACCTACTCTTATGTGTCTCTACAGTCGCATAAACGACATCGAATTGGTACAAGTTGCAAATACCATCAGCTGGTACCCGACGTCCCCGTAGTGTACAGTGCAGGATAGATGGGAAATGGTTAAAAGAGGGTTAACTAACCTCACAGATAGGTTCGCACCACTGAGGAAAGGCCGACCCCATCATAGACCAATCTGGTGGAAACCCGGGATAGAGAGAGCGCTCAAAATTTGCCGACGATACTGGGATCGCTTTAAGCTTTATGGCACTCAACAAGGTTGGAGTGACTACAAGCGGGCGCGAAACAGATGACAAGACCTCCAAAGGCGTGACAAATATGGCTTCGATTTTAACTTAGCGCGAGGTGTCAAAAAGAACCCCAAACGCTTCTATGGGTACGTGCAAGCCAACGTACGCACACGGGAGTGTAGGACCACTAGATTTGCCCGATTGATGCATAGCTACGTGTAACGGCGATAAAGCGGTAACCCTACTGAAGTTCTTTAAAAGCGTGTATAGGACCCCAGTTAATGTGGATAATCCGGGTTTAACAAGATCAGCTGATACGTCGGAGTTATCCAAAGTTGCCATCTGTGAAACAAATGTACATCGGGAACTCCAGATGCTCAACAAGCATAAGTCAGCAGGTCCAGATGGAATACATCCAGACATAGTACAGCCACTGGTCGGTGTGCTAGCTGGGTCGCTGACTGTACCTTTGTGGGAATCAGTGCAAACTGCCACGCTACCCCAGGACTGGCGTACAGCTACGNAAACTGCTACTCTACCCCAGGACTAGAATAGAACTACCGCGGTGGCATTGCACACGGCTGGACCGAAACGCAAAGCAGAAAACTATAGACCCGTTAGCCTAACGTCAGTGCTGTGTAAGTGCCTGGAGCGGCTGATTTGCCTACATCTGACTAGCAATCGACTCCTGAAACCGGCACAACATGGCTTTGTGCAACAGAAGTCATGTCTTACGAATCTGCTTGTGTTCCTAGATGAAGTCACTCAACGAATGGATGAGGAGAAAAATGTAGTCTGCTAGGTAGACTTCTATATAGCATTCGGCTCTGTCAGCCATCGGTTGTTGGACTTCAAGGTTCGGAGCCTAGGCACAACGGGTGGAGCCAGGGACTGGATTGTAGCGTTTTTGAGTAATCGCACCTTCCGGGTCAAGGTGGGTGACTACATTTCTAACCATGAGATGGTTACAAGTGGGGTCCCCCAGGGCTCAGTGCTAGGCCCCCTACTGTTTCTCATATTCATCAACGATCTGGAGCAGGATCTTCAAAATTCGTGTTTCATATTCGCTAATGATGTCAAAAGGACAGGGTTAGACTTACAAAGGGACATAGAGGTAGTCCATCGATGGTCGATCAAGTGGGACTTACCTTTCAATCTAAGCAAGTGCCAGCTCCTAGCAACGAGAGATGGGACATACTCGTTTAATGGGGCTCCCATGCGGCAGGTCCCGCAGATGAAAGATCTAGGGGTTCTTATGACCCAAGACTTTAAACCCTCAACTCAGTGTTGCAAGGCTGCAAATCAGGCTAGGGGCAGCTGTTCAGGTTGTGTGCCACAGTGCCATGCAGAAGGCCTGAGATTTTCATCCACTGTATTAATCCATTGTGTGTCCACACATGAAATATTGTGTGCAGGCACAGGCACCGTATTACAGGAGAGCTGTAACGTGCTTAAAGCGAGTGCAACGCCTAGCAACCCGAATGGTGACTGGGCAAAAGGGGAGAAGCTATGAGCAGTGGTTACGAGATCTAAATCTCTTTTTGCTGGAGCGTAGACGAATGAGGGGAGATCTGATAGGATTTTTAAAATTGTAAGAGGTCTATCGGGACTTAACCTAGATGACTTGATTACGAATTCTCGCGCTCAAAACACGAGAGATCATAGCTATAAACTCCAACAGAACCACGCCAGGCTAGAAGTACGAGCCAACTTCTTCGCACACAGGGTCATACCTATATCAACAGGTTACCCGCAGAAGTGATCAATTGCGCCAGCGTTCACACCTTCAAGTTGGTCCTGAACGCATGTTGGTCAGAAACGTTCCCCGAAGTTAGTATTTAGACTGGGAACATAAGGAATAAATTCTACTCCAGCCAGGAGTTTGTGAAATGATATAAACTTGGGCTTCAGTGTTGAAATTATTTTAAAAACTGAATATCCTGTCACATGTGAGCTGTGTATACCAACGCATGTATACTTGAGGTCTATAATCAATGAGACGAAGAGATATCCTGGCTTGTTTTCCTCCCCTTCAGCAAACTCCCAAAGAGACAACGTTCTGGATACGGGGTTAAAGTGAAAGGATTACAAATACCCAATCAACTGTTGGAAGCTATCTCCAATCCGCCGACAACACAACAAAGTGGACGCTCGATTGGCAAGACCCATATTCGTCCTGTGCAAGCTGAAATCAACTGAACTGAATTGAACAAATCAAGTCACCAAATTTACACAAATCGTGGAACATATCCCACGCTCCATGTGACCTGGCTAAATGGACGTGGTTTATAACCCCCACCCGATAGACCTCATGACGCACAAAAAGATGCGATCATCAACCGTTTCAGCATGTCGGAGGACAACCGTCACAAGCAGCTACCTCACGGAATCCGTCTAGAGGATAATGGGTTACATACTCCCACACAGCTGTTCAGCTTTATGAGGATTCTGGCTTCTATGCACCTTTTGGATGCAAGCACTCGCAGATTACGTAGTGACTTTCCTTAGAGTATTCGCGAATAAAGCTACCTTAGACGAGATAGCAGAAGCAGCCGACAATATTTGCGCATACACCCCATCGACTCCACCAGTCACCCGCCTACCCCCAGACTCAGGGAATTATTCGTGTAAGGACGCAAACGACCAAGTGAATCGGCGTTTGGACGAGCTAATGACCCAAGTAGCTGCGCGTAAACTTTCCCGCGATCGGTCGCGTTCTGGCTCCCGTTCCAGCTCCAGCTTTCGTTCCTCCTCCCATTCGCAATCTCATAGCCGACAGGGACGTTTTAGGTAACAATGCAACTCTTGGGACGTTTGCTGGTACCAACGCCAATATGGTGACGCAGCCCCAAATTGTACAAAATCTTGTAGATACAATTCGTCACAAAAGGGAAACGCCTAAGCCGACCGGCCCAGGCGACGACCGCGTCAGATTTAGCAAAGCTAATTCGCCCATTCTACCTCACAGATGAGGTCACTGGCACACGTTTCCTAGTCGACACCGGTGCCCAGGTTAGCGTTATCCGTCCTCGTTTCATTGATCAGCGCCATTCATTGACGGCGAACAAATCCCCAGTCGAAACCTACGGCGACCGTTCATTGACACTGAACCTCGGAATTCGCCGTAATTTTCCATGGGTCATTATCATCGCTGACCTTTCAGAGTCGACCTTTGGCATTGATTTCCTACGTCATTTTAATCTCATGCTCGATTCCATAAGCCATAATCCTGTAGGTCGCCTCACAAGTTGCGAGGAAATAGGCGTCCCGACACGCGAAACACTCGTTATATTCATCATCTACAGACCGCTAAAAAAAGACCGGTTCCACACGGTTCTCTCCAAATTCCTTGGACATACTTAAACTATCGAACAATCTTCAACAGCTCAGCCTCGGTATAACCAACGACATCGTCAGACGGACTCCA